AAAAAGAAATGTACTCTTGCCCTGACTTATGTAACAGGAGCCCCTCTGTATATCACCTTTATAATAACAATTTAATTTTTTTGGCCGGTCATGGGCCTGAACTCTGGGCCTGGGCGCTGTCCCTCAGCTCTTCAGCTCAAGGCTAGCACTCTACCACTTGAGCCACAGAGCCACTTCTGGCTTTCTTCTGCTTATGTGGTGTTGAGGAATTGAACCCAGGGCCTGCAAGGCAAGCACTCTACCACTGAGCCACCTTCACAGCCCCACAATTTACAATTTTAAACATAAATAAGTACAAGGTCTTGGGGAGCTTGTTAGTCTCTTCTTTCCCCCTTTTGCCTTTTTTCACTTCTGCCATTTTTACTTCTGCCATGTGAAGCCCACGACAAAGCACTAAATGCCAATGCTTTGATTATGGTCTGTCTAGCCTCTATACATATAAGAAATACATTTCTATTGTTTATTAATTACTTTATTGTAATACAATCACACTACTCTTTCTAATAGTAGCACACATAGACTGAAACATGTTTCCTGCCTCTTTAAGTTAAACTATTTGGGGAGCCGGGTGCTGGTGGCTTATGTCTGTAATCCTACCTACTCAGGAGACAGATCTGAGGATTGTGGTTCAAAGCCAGCCTGGGCAAGAAAGTCCATGAAACTCTTATCTCCAATTAACCACCAGGAAGTGACACTGTGGCTCAAGTGGTAGAGTGCTCGCCTTGAGCTGAAGCGCTTAGGGACAGCACCCAGGCCCACAGTTCAAGCCCTATGACCCCCCCCAAATATATCTATATATAAATATATACTTATAATATATATAATACATACAATATAATATGTACATATAATATATATTATATGCATTAACTATATATAACATAAAATTATGTATGTATATATACATGGGGATGGTTCTGAGGTTTGAACTTGGGTCCTCCTACTTGCTAGTCTTGAGCCATACCTCCCACCTTACATACTGTAGTTATTTATTTTTTGTCGGTCATGGGGCTTGAACTCTGGGCCTAGAGCTTTACCACTTGAGCCACAGCGCCACTTCTGGTTTTCTGGTAGTTTATTAGAGATAAGAGTCTCATGGACTTTCCTGCCTGGGCTGGCTTTGAACTATGATCTTCAGATCTCAGCCTCCTGAGTAGCTGGGATTACAGGTGTCTCTCTTGGTGCCGTAGGGATTTGGACAGTTGTATCATAACATAGAGAACTGATTATACAGATTTGTGGTAAAATTATTGAGCAAATGTAGATGAGTATTGATTAATGTTCTACAAATAGTTTCAGTTCAGTGGGACACAGCCACCTGGCAAGAAACCTCCTGCAGGTGACGGGACCAGGGCTCACAGGTAGCCTGGCACTCAGGATCAAGTGGCCAGGTTAGGGAGACTCCAAGATCCACACCGAAGATGCAGGTGGCAGAGCAATAGCAGCTACTTTGTATGCTTGATCTTTGTACTCTGGGTCACCTTTATTTGTTAGGACAACTAAGGAGGCACAGAAGGGGGAAAACAAGGCAGGAAGGAGAGCTTTGGCTCGTATAGGTCACTGGCTTTTCTGGCTGGCCCCAGAGCTCACTGTTACTAGCTCAGAAGGAACCCAGACCTGACTCGTGCTCCCATGCCAGGCGGGGGAGGCCCAGGTGAGTAAGAAGAGACAGCCCAGGCAGCAGGGAGTGGAAGGAGCAGCAGCGCCCTCTGCAGGTTGAATGGGTCTTCATTCTCCATTCCGTCTATGTAAGTTTTCGCAAGAGCCCTTTTAAAAATGAAGGTGGCTTGGACTCTTTTCATCCTAAATCCTAGGCATAGGTTAGTCATAACTCCAGTCCTCAGGCTGCTTGTGGAGCACACATGGAGGACCCACTGCTATCTGCTTTGATAGTAGCAACCCACATGACTTTGGGAAAATGCTGAAAACAAAGTCTGAAAGGTGTTAAAGGAGCAAAATCTTAGTGATGGATTTTCAGACTGAAGCCTGGCAAGCACAGGAGATATCTGGAGATGGAGAGAAGCCTACACAGTTGAGTCCTCCATGTGTGCTCCACAAGCAGCCTTAGGACTGGGGTTATGACTAACCTATGCCTAGGATTTAGTGTGTGTGTGTGTGTGTGTGTGTGCGCACGCACGCGCGCGCGCAAACACGTGTACATTCTGAGGCTCGAACTTAGGATGGGTGCCATTCTTGAGCATATATTTCTTAAGGCTAATATTCTACCGTGTGAGCCATAGCCCCTCTTCCCACTTTTTGGTAGTTAATTGGAGATAACAGTCTCACAGACTTTCCTGACCAGGCTAGCTTTGAATAGTGGATCCTCACATCTCAACCTCTTGAGTAGCTAGGATTACAAGTGTGAACTACTGGTGCTGTTTTTGTTGTTGTTGTTTTTAATGTGTGCATGTATGAAAGTCCTATAGCTTGAAATCGGGATTCAGGTGCTGTCCCTTTGATTTTATGCTCAAGGCTGGTGCTCTTCCTCTTGAATCACAGCTTTCTTTGTTTTTTTGGTGGATAGTTGGAGTTAAGAATTTCATAGACTTTCCTGCCTTGGCTGGCTTTGAACCATGATGCTCAGATTTCAGCCTCCTGAGTAGATACAGGTGTAAGCCATCAGCTTTCAGTTTCAAGCCACCTTTTTGCACAAACTCAAACCATATTTACCACTATGAACTGTCTGGGGCCCAGATCTGATGTCAATGGGTGCTCTGTGCAGGCTCATGCCCCTGTAATCTAGATGTGGAGGAAGAGCTATCTAGTCCACATACCCTTTCCCTATTTCACTGCCCAGCTCCTCTCCTTTGTTCCTTCCTGAAGTGTTTAGACCATCCTCTAGGTTCCTGGTTCTGACTGGGCTGTGAGAGACTGCAGAGCAGTATGTGACACTGCTGTGGCTGCTGGCAGAGGTGACAGGTGGTAAAATGGAGATGCAGTTGTCTGTGAATACTCAAGAGTATTCACCCCTAACTAGCAGCTCCTCACAAATAAGTAAGAGTTCTGTGAAAAGAGCTGTGCTCACTTTAAAAGGTAATCTGTTCATGAGACTGTAAATGTGTTATTTTTTCGAACATGTTGTAGAGGATGGGTATGTAGACGTATGGTTTTCTTGTAAAATAATGACTGTATTTTCAAAAAGGTATAGAGCCATTTCTCTTTGTTCTTTGGGTAGTTTAGACAGGATTCCTGCTTCTGAAGCTTGGGAATCCTTTGCTGTAGTTGAGAAATATGCTAATGACTTTTTTTCTTTTTGCAAAGTATCCTATATTTCTCAAATCTGATTTGAAGATGTGCTTGTTTGACATTGTCTAATTTTTCTTCTTTCTTTTACCCCCATTGGGGACAAGATCCTGTTGTGTAGCCCAGGAAATCCTCCAAACTTCCAGTTCTGCTTCAGCCTCCCAAGTTCTGGGACTGCAGGTGTATGTAATCCTCCTACCTCTGCCTTTGATATAGCTTGACTTACACATATACAAGCCCATCTCACATTGTTTTAAATAGAATCAATTGCCAATTTTAAAATACTTGGGATACTGGTTTAAAAATCTAGGTTTCGGGTTTCTTAAAAAAATAATCTGATAATGAAGAGCTGGAATTTCCAATAGATAGATGGCCAAGACTGAAGAAACACTAAAACCTCAAATACACCACTTTTTACCTCCCTCTAACACCATTTCAGGCCAGCTGCTGCTTATCACTTGCACCTTGAACTGTTCCACTTTCAGTACTTGCCTCTACCCTTCAAAAGGAGGAGAGTTTCCAGGGCATTTCTTGGAAGAAAAAGTGTACGCAGGACTAGGAAGGCTGATGTGGGTAGTGCTGTGGGAACATGTGGACCTGTGATATGGGCATTGAATAGGAGGGCACAGGTCTCCTGACATGGATGCTCCCAGATCCTTGGCAGGGTTGTACTAAGAGAGCAGGCTGCTGTATCTGAATGGAGCACAAACGTTTAAGACAACAAGTTTGTGGTGGGACACTCTACTGATCAGACTTATTTTCTACCTTGCTGAAATGTTGGCTGGATGTGAGGGTCCTGGGACAATGACTTAGTAGATGGGGGTTGGGATATACGGAGTTCCAATTAGAAAAGATTGATATTATATTCCTCGTATCTGAATGTTGTCACATGTGCTTTCATTATTAAAAGTGTTCATATGGTCCTTGTGTTTTTGGGAACTTGCTTTATAAAGTAACCATAATCTTGTTCCTGATTATCTGGTTGTCAAGTTAGTTGATCCATCTACCCCATTCATTCATGCATTCATTCATTCATACATCCATTCTTCAAATAGAGAATCTACTATGGTCATAGTTCAAGGAAGGTGACTAAGACGAAGTCACAAGTTCTTGCATTTTGTGTTAGTGCCCTGGATAGGAGAAATGGAAATGGAATGGAAAAGATACTTATTGGGAATAAGAAGTTGGGGCTTTTGCCTTATTTCTAATTTTCAACTGCTGGACCAACTAATTAACCCTTTGGGGATTCATTTTCTTCTGTGTAAAATAAAGTGAAATGATCCTTCCCTCTTAAAAAAATTTTTTTTTACCAGTCCTGGGGCTTGAACTGTGGACCTGAGTGCTGCCCCTGAGCTTCTTTGGCCAAGGCTGGCACTCTACCACTTGAGCCACAGCTTCACTTCTGTATTTTTTCTTGTGTATGTGCGTGTGTGTGGTTAATTGGAGGTAAGGGTTTCACATTTAGTTTGAACCATGACCCTCCGATCTCAGCCTCCTGAGTAGCTAGGATTACAGACATGAGCCATTAGTGCCCAGTTTGTAATCTGTATTTTGTCACCATGTGTTTACTTAGGAGTTCATATATGAAGCATTAAAAATGAACCCACATTCTCAGCCTCTGATGGAAGAGGAAGGAGCTAGCGTGAAAAGCAGATGGTGCCACTATCTCCAAGTCTGGGATGAGCTGCGGTCACTCAAAGAAGGAGGGCCTCGGAGAGAATACGGACAAGAGCTTGGTGCAGTTGGGAAAGGGATTTATTATGTCTATATACAAGGAAGCATTTGCTGATGCTTTGTCAAAAACAGGTATAAGGGGACCAAAAACTATTCTAGCAGGATTGAGCTTAAAGACTGGCAAGAGGACACAGACGGAAATGACAGCATTCAGGCTGCCTAATTATGCAGACCACGAGGGCAACGACACAGTGCAAGCCACACAGGACAGCTATATGCCATGAGAGAGCAGCTGCTCACTGGGACCGCGGGGAGGCTGGGGAGGGCCGGGCTACTGCTAGGAAAGGGTATTTAAAATCGCATAAATCCTCCATATCTTTTTCCCACCTCGGGAACTTCTTTGGAGTAACTTTCTCCTTCTTCGTCAGAAGGCAGGGACTCAGCGAAGCGCTTGAGGAAGCCCCCGTATCGTTTCTGGTAATCCATCCACCACTCAGGGCGGCCCACCCTTCTCATGAAGCCTCCGTAGCGTTTCTGCAGCTCCTTGGCATCATCTTCCAGCTGGGGGCTTCTCCGGAGGCCTCTCATGAAGCCCCCGTATCTCTTGCTCAGGTCCTCCTGGTTGTCACTGCTCTCCAGGTGGTGGTTCTCTTGCTCGGGGTTGTCTCCTGTGCCCAGCAGCTCTCTCAGCAGATCGGAGGAATTGGCCAGGGCATCCCCCTCTTCGGCATCCTTCTTCATGAAGCCGCCATACCTCTTGGCAAGGATTTCCCCTCCATTGCCCTCTTCCTCCGGCTCTGCAGGATAAAGCTCATCCATCTTCTTCATGAAACCTCCGTACCTCTTCATGAACCCCCCATACTTTTTGGCCAGCAAGTGGCCCTCATCCTGCTTGCTGCTTTCTGTGAGCGGGTGGGTGATTTCTTGAGGGAACTCAGATGTCTTGACCTGTAGGAGCTCCTTACAGGCCTCCCAGATTTTGAAAGAGGGCAGATGGCCTTCACATTCCAGCATGCAAGCCTGAAAGACATTGGAATTAATAACCTGTGGTAGGCAATAGGCTTGCTTTGATAGGTTGATGCCCAGTGAGGAAGGTCATCTACATCTTTTTTTTTTTTTAGGTTTTAGCAAGGGTTTATTTTTAGCATAACATAATTAAAATAGGGAGAAATGGAGAAAAGCAATATTTCTGGCTCCCCACACAGGAAATTAGGGTTAAAATCTCTTTCCACCTTACCATCATAACATCGTGCTCAAGAGGCAAATGGAGCAAATAAAAACTGGAAAAAGTAGGAGGATGAACTGAATCTAATTAGAAACTGCCTGCTGAATATACTGTGATATGTCAGAATTTTAGAAGACCCCTCCCAGTTCTAACTTTAGTTGGCTGTCTTCATAATGGTATTGTACTGGTGATTTTCCCCTGCCAATAATATCATTTTGTTTGAGGTTTTTCTAACCAAAAGGGAGAAATGTTCTATTTACTAAATGCAGGATAGTTTCCTAATTGCACAAGTGTTGCTGATAAAATTAGTATTAATAGGATTCATCTGCTGGTGGTGTTAATATTTTACTACAACAGTAGTCAGTGTTCCTGCAAACATTTTCCATCTTTCAAGAAAGAAAGACATCCAAAACATTCAATTTAAATCTCATGAATTATTTGGATTCTGGTATATCGATTGGCCATAATTAGGGATGTTTTGTTTTTTCCTGGTTGATTAAAACACATTGTGTTGTCTTGAATCAAATGCATTTAATTAAGTCTTTACCTAATGTAAAGGTGAAAGCAGATAGGAAATTACACACACATGAATGCATAAATTATCCATGCTGATTTTTCTATTTGGCTACTGTAGAGCCAAAGTAGAGAAAAAGTCTTCCAATGGAAGTAGTATTAAAAATAGAGTAGGAATGGTTAGCTTTTATGAGTTCCCTTTATTATATAACAATTACATTCAAGGAATTGTGAGATTTAGGCTATAGATTCTTACAATGTTCTTCAGGTATTTTTCTATTCAATAGATGGCTTATGTATGGGAAAAGAGGACTAACATCATGTAAGCATTTATACAATCCATGCCATATTTCTCAGCATTTAAGGGGCTCTGTTAGCTGTCTGAATCTACTTACAGAAAATGCATTGAAGCTCCTTGATTTAGCAAAGTGAGGCCCTTTCCTGCTATTTAAAAACATACTGATATAATGAAATTAAATGTTCTCACATTATTTTTCATCATGAATTAAATCATTTTATTCATGTAACAAAATCTTTAGGCTATACAGTAACCAGGTCTTAATGACTAAGCTTTATGTCTGAGGAAACTAAATGTTTCTATATATGAAAGTATTAAAAAGATAATCTAATTAAAATGATCTTGTTTTATTCCCAATAATATCTGGTTTAAGGTTTAAAGCATTAAAACGTAAGCTATTCCAGGAAAGTTAGAATGAACTTGTGACTTTAAATGAGCATCATTATTCCACAATACTGTGAAATTTGGGAAATTATGTAATCACTTAATCACAATTAAAAAAAAAAAGAACCTCTGGGAAGGTAGGGAGGGAAGGGATGGTAGGGGGAAAACAATGGAGGGGGTAACAATGCTCAATAGGAAGTGTACTCATTACCTTGCTCATGTAACTGTAACCCTCTGTATAGTATCTTTACAATAAAAAATTAAAAAAAAACTTAAGCTATTGAAATGGAAACAATATTTCCATTTGAATGTATTTATGGACAGATTACCCAAAATTAATAATGAATATTTTGTGTACTTGTACCAAAAGACTTTTAAATGTATGTGATTTGGTAATCCTTCAAAAACAAATCATGGCAGATAACAAGAATAGCACATTCATACTAAAAATGATGAGGTTACTGTATCATTCCTACAGCTAACTATATATCTGTAGTGATACTTGTCACACCTTGCTGTCTATGGTACAGGCAAGGTTATATGGTAAATTTGATCTGGACATTCGCCAAAGCTTGCTTTTGCATTTTTGGCTCTACCACAGTACTAAGCACAAGTGTCTGTCACATGGGAGAATCTTGGTAATAACTTGAATATTGATTTTTACCACACATCTTTGACTAAACACCCTTAATTTGCCAGTGTGGGTGTGGGTGTGGGTATACGCACGTGCGTATGTGGGAACACGTGCACATTCCAGCAGAAATCCCCAAATCCCAGTCATTCTAGCAAAATGAGCTTTAACTAAATCTTTTGTTACTGAGAGAACAACATCCCTAAATATAAGATGTAAGATGAAACAAGTTGCTTAATCATTACTTAAAATGCTTTAAGAGATTTAAAAAAAAAATGATTGTTGGTTATTGTCTTTTTATAAATGCAAGTTGTATATAACTCCATGTATACTATCATCTGTGTTAAAAGAAAAGCTACTACACCAATGAGAAGTTTGGGAAGAGCAACCTTTCTAGATGTCACCTTAAATTTTGTGAAATGATGAGTGGAGGTGAGAAAGGGAGAGAAAACAGAATTTTTGGTAACATCCAGGAAGGGTTGGCTGCCCCACAATGAACTCTGGGCACAGCCCATGCCTCAGTACTGGAAAAGGAAACCCCACCTTTTTAAAGAAAGAAGTTGGTATTTTTAGAGCAGGCGGAAGTGCTCGTAGATTAAATTTTTAAAAAGTAGAACATGCATTGTTTATATAACATGTCAGTTATATTAATTACCAAATCACACCACTTAAGTAAGTGATGTGACTGCTATGACTTTGAGGCCAGGTTAGAACATTTAAAAAGTTATTCTAGAATTCACATAACCTTTATGTAGAAGGCAGAGAACTGTGGACCCTGAGGTTGAGCTATATGCTTGTCTAGCAGGGGACAAAAGCCAGTGCATATGTAAATGGACAGGGGAGTTTGGGGTCAGGACATGGAATCTTTTCAGTTATTGTCTCCCCTGTGTATACATTTCTTGGCTCACAAGATCTATTCTTATGTGTGTAGCATTCATTTAATTTTTAGGGGTAGCTTAAAGCACATGACTTTCTCGGGGGGGAAAAATGAAACAGTTGAGTGAAAGGGGCTGTTCTTCCTATTTTAAATGGACCATTTTTTCCCTCATAATTTAAGATAGAAGACACATCTATCAAAGCCCAAGTTAGCATACACAAATGGAAACAGATCAGGTAATTCAAATGAAAGAGTTAAGCTGAAATAGACACTTTGAATATTTTTTTTGTAAAATCTGTTCCTTACTGTTTCCTTCACAAGCATTGGTACAACATTGAATTTCCTTAAAGGTTCAAGTAGATCCAAAATCACTCTGGATAAATACATTACTCTTTACCAAGCTTGTTTCCCCTCCCCTCCTTTCTTGATTTTAAGGGTAATACAGAATTGCAACAAATTTCAACAGTAATGCAAAGGAATCATGTGGCGAGCAGGTTCGGAGGAAGCATCTAGAATTTCATATGCATAGACTCTGACTCAGTTGAGCACCCTAGGTAATAATGCAAGAGCTCCTGGATTAGATTAGAATAACAGTCATTTTGTCATCAGCTTCCTTCCCTCCTGTTCCTTTCAATGTCATTTGTCTTTGCACCAATACCTTGTTTGTCTTTGGACCTTGGCCAACTCTCCTGGGCCCTTCTCATGGCCGAAAGAAACGGTTGCTTTTAGAAGCTATTAGAAAAGTGCAGTTGACACAAGACAGAAGCCGAATTCTGTCTTCAGTCGCCCATGCAATCACTAAGAGCTTTCTCTCCTGTCTTCTGAGATTTCCCCGTCCTCCCTCTTGATCCCTTTTTTTTCTATCCCTTTGCTGGGATAGAATCCCGGAGAGACACCCCCCCCCCCCAAGTTATAGGAACTACGAAATTCGAAGGGAAAAGATGGTGACGAAATGTCATTAATTTAAAAGGCACATTACTTGTGAGAGGGATAGTTGTGTGAGAAGCAACTATTCTTGGCTGGGATGTTAGAAATGGGGTGACCAGGCATCAGTCTCGGCGAGCATCCGGTGCTATCCGAGGTGCTGAAGAGAACACATCGTGTGTGGAGGCGAGGGGGTGGGGGTGGGGGGCGGTGGAGTGGAGCGGATACTCGAAGCTCCAAGGTTAAAAGGAACTAGATACGTGTTGGGCTATCCCTGCTCTTTACCTGTACCTAGATCGGTGCAGGTCCCCTCGGCTGAGAACCAGAGTGCAGAGTGTAGGCGGACCTTGGCCAGGCGTCCTGGGAACAGCCAGGACACCTGGGTCCCCAGGGTTGGCGCTGGGGGCTCCTCTGCCTGGGTGTGCGTGCGAGACCCGGAGATCCGACCCAGGCGGATCGTCCGAGGACTGACCAGAGACTCGCTCCTGCGCGCACCACTCACCAGGAAGTCGATGTCGCCGGGGCGCACTAGGTGGTAGCTGCACGTCGCGCAGTCCTGGGTGCATTCCGACTTCATGGAGGCCAGGAGGCCGGGGCCCAGCGCCAGCAGCCAGGTGCAGAGGCTCAGGAGCCGCGCCATGGGCTACGCGGGGCAGAAGGAAGCGCGCTTGGAGCGTGTCCTGGGGGGGTGCAGACCCCTGGGAGCGAGGGGCGCCTGGCTGCGACACCCCGGCCGCGGGAGGGGGGCGTCGAGCAAGACTCGTTAGGGATGCTTCTGGCTGAGCAACCGCTCGCAGCGCACCCCACCTTTCGGGGGGTGGGGGAGAGATTCGAGGACGGCCCAGAATCGCTCTCAATCGCCCCCAACGCGGGGTGACGGGGTGGGGAGCCTGTCCTCTTCCCGGGCGTCCGTTGCCGCGGGGGCAGAATTCCGGAACGAACGCCCGAGATCTACAGCCTGAGAACGGGCTCAGGTGGAGGCAGCGCCTGGAACAGGACCCCCCCCCCAAGGGGAACCGGGAGGAAGTTGGGGGCGCCCACCCATGCAACGAGCGCAGGCGAGGGTCCCCCCCAATCCTCGCAGCCAAGGCGAGTTCGAGGCCCGTGTCACTTACGTGGACGCTGTCGGGATGGAGCAGGCTGACGGGGAGAAGCGGGTCCCGAGCACGAGTCTGGAAGGAAGAGAAAGGTGAGCGTGAGCCGGGCGGCGTCGGGGGGACCGCGAGCCGGCGGGGTGCGCGGGCAGGTGCGGACCTCACCGTCGCGGGCGCCGCGCGGGGCCGGGCTGCGGGGCTCTGAGCACCTGCCTCGTCGTCCCCGAGGCCAGCCACGACTCGAGCCACTTTATAATTAGCCCCAAACCGAAGGAGGCGCACGAGCCCCAATCGCCGGCGGGCTGCAGCTGACGCACGCCCTACGCCAGCCCGCGCCGACGCCTTCGCGGGAGGGGTCGGTCCCGGCGCCGCGCGCTCGCCCGGGGGCGGGGGGGGGGGGCGCTCGCCGCGTCGGTCCGTGACGAACCCAAGGACGTTAGGAAGTTTGGGGGAGGCGTGGGAGGGGGGGGAGGTCAAGCGTGCCCCCCCCACCCTCCCACAGGAAGTCACTGATTGCACCCTGGGCTGGAGGGGTGGGGGGATAGACAGGTGGACTGGCTTAGGTTGGCGGGGTGCGCCCGGAGCCCCTGGGATCGGGTGAGCCGGTCGCCTCTGCTTCGCCGCCCCAGGCGCCCTGGAGGCATTAAGAACCGGAACCTCGCGGGTTTCACCGTCTTCCGCGCCCTTTCCCCCTCCCCGGCCCCCAACGTTTGACTCCTAACGGCACCGAGCGCACAGTAGGCGCTCCGTGAATTGTCCCAGAAACGAAAGACGGGAACTTTTGAGGAGTCTTGCAGTTTCTCCTCCTTGATTATGGAGATCTCTGACCAAAGAAGCTAGTTTGAAGAAAAAAACCACCACCACAAAGTCCCGCGTTCTGGAAAGGCGTGCCCGGCGGGGCCGCGCGCCGTGCGGCGGGGCGGCTCGGAGGGACCCAGCCCCGGGGTCGGATGCCCATGGTCATGCCCTGGGGGGTGTGTGCTGGGCGAGGAGGCGGGGGGCGAGGGGATGTCCGAGCACCTGAAGCGTGGGGCCCCGGGGCTCCACAGGGAAGACACCCAAAGTAGACGGGGACCGCCGAGGCTGGAGGTTGAGGCTGGCCCTGCCTTTCCCTGTCTTCCCACCTCCACAGCTGGCGGCCTCCTCAGATCAGTCCAAAGTTTTCTTGTTTGGAGACGAGGGACTGAATTCAGAGGCACAGTGGACAGAATCAAGGGTTCCAGACGAAATCACGTAGCCTCGTGCCTGGCATATTGCAAGTTCTCAAAAGTTGTTTTAAATCACTCGCCACCCAGCCCCAGCCCCAGCCCCCCCCCCCCCGCCCATTTCTTGTCTGTCTGTCCTGGGAACTTGGGTGCTTGTCCCCCAGCTCTTGTGCGCAAGGCTAGTGCTCTGCACCGGAGCCACGGCTTTGTTTTTAAATGCTGGTGAAATGAGAATCCCACGGACTTCCCTGCCCGGGATGGCTTCTAAACGCGTGTCAAGAGCTCAACCTCCTGGGGGAGCGCCCGGCCCTCCAGGCCCCTTTGACCTGTCTGTTCGTCATCCATTTATTGTACAGGACTGTTCGACTACGGAACCTCCCCTTGGCTCTCAGGGGGACATCGTAGACAGTTTTGGGAGGCCTCTGTGTAGGGGGGGGGTTCCCAGGATTTTGTATGTTCTGCAAAGGACATACACCTTTGCATGCACCTTTGCAACCGTCGCGGGCACTTGCAGCCAAGCGGCTCTGAGGCTCGGGTCGAGCTGCACCTTCCATTTTCGTCGCTAGAGGGCAGTGCTCTCCTGCGTAGGCTGGACGCTTGCGGGGAGGTGGGGGTGGGCGTGGGGTACCCATTTCCGCGCGGGTCTCTGTGAGGGCTGCGGACATTGTACCCCGAGTGGTCCCGCAGCTGCACCTGCGGACCACCTGTGTCCAGCGCCACCAGAGCCTTGCAGAGCCCTAAACGGCCAACTTCGATCAGTTACAAAATTGCAAATGCTTTTCCTTGCAGATGTTTTCCCTCTTAGACCTTTTAGGCTCTTCCCACCAGGGGCCTTGGTCATGTCTGCCCTTCCCTGCTCGCTACCTTGTCTCCTGTGCAAAAGAGAGCTGCTCTCTGTCTTCACTGGACCCAGGTCCCCCCTGTACCCACGGTTTGTAGAGGAAGCCCACTACCCTGCAGTACTGTGCAGAAGGCATGGTCAGAAACGTCTTGACTACAATTAAGGACAACTTGCATACCCGAGATCACCTGGAAACTTTAAACAAATACGTAACTGAGAGCTGGAGGCCGAGGGGCTGGTGAGAAAGGAACACAGCATTTGTTACTGACAGAGGGCTCCTTGGAATCTTGGAAAAAAATAAAAGCTTAAATTTGGCAACTCTCAAGTAGATATATCAGAATTTCCCAACGACCAACGCAGGCAGTGGCAGCTCAAGGTCTCTGGCTTTTTTAGCAAGGCAGTGGGTGCCCATCCCACATGGATGTGCTTTGTTGTTGTTGTTGGTGGTGGTGGTGATGGTGGTGTGTGTGTGTTAAGCTGAATTGTTCTCAGTGGCTCTTTAAAAGTCAGAGGTGATGAGAGAGAGAAACACACACACACACACACACACACACACACACACACACACACACACACACACACACACACAGACCTACCCCAAGAGAAATGGAAGAGTACTATTCTTCAGACTTGATGCTCACAGTTGGTGCTCAAAAATGTGTGCCCATTAGTTGAAAGGAAGTCGTTTTCATCCCCTAAATCGTGGACATCCCTTAAACAGTGGAGAGTCTCTTCCTGTTACCTTCCTCCACCTAGTCTGGAAGCCTTTCCTTTTCTCTCCTCCCTTTCCTTTTCTCCTTTCCCTTTCCTTTCCCTCCCCTCTTTCCCTTCCCTCCTCCCTCCCTCTTCCCTCTTTCCCTCTTTTCCCTCTCTCTCCTTCCTTCCTTCCTTTCCTTCCTTTCTTCCTTCTCTTTCCTCCTTCCCCCCTCTCTTGTCTCTCTTTCTCTCTCTCTCTCTCCCTCACCCCAAGGCCCTGAGCCCTCAACTGCCTTTCTTGCTCATGGCTGGTGTTCTACCACCTGAGCCATGCCTCTAGTCTGGAGTTTTATTGGTTAACTGGAGTTGGAATCTCAAGGATTTCCTTTACCCCTGGACTGACTTTGAACTGTGATCTTCCAGATCTTCGCCTCCTGAGTAGCTAGTATTGCAGTATTGCAAGTGTGAGCAACTGGTGCTGAGAAAAAGTCATACATGTCCATCTTCATTTCTTTATATTTTAACTATAGCAGTGGATTGTAAGGAAGATATTTTGTTCACGATCTTTTAAATATTTATCGAGAACTAATAGAGTTTCCTGTTATGTTCTTGGAAAAGACGGCTCCAGAAATCAGCCTCAGAACAAGGGAACAAATCTTCCCTGTCTTAAACCATTTAGTCTACAGATTTCTGATTTTTTTTGGGGGGGGGAAAGGGGGTCAAGACCTCATCATCTTTTAATTCAAGGGTGCCAAGCATTAGTCCAGAGGGATTTAGCTCAGAGACCCAAAAATGTGATTTAGGAAGGCCTGATGGTGAGTGTGTTAACTCAGTTCTCAGATGTTCTGGGAGCAAGGGTTTTAAGAAGTCCAAGTATCTTCTCTCATGCTTTCCTGGAAGGAGCCTGAACGGAGTGGTTTCTTTACAGTTCCAACTCCTGACCTCTCCTCCCATTCCTGCCTCCCCACACACTTCATTACACAAAGCCATTTTTTTCTGTCTCCCCTCATCTTTCTTCTCTTTCTTCTTCTTTCTCTCTGAAGTTGCAGGAGAGGAAGCTCCATAGTTCTGCACCCTGGTGCTGGTGTAATGTTTCAGCATAAAAGCATCATGTTCTAACATTTCAGAAGTTTGAAGATGAGCCAGAGACAGTGATCACCTGCCTGTTTTCAGTTATGATCCAAAGTGCAAACTTTGCAAAATGGGGTTCTGTGAGCCAGGCAAGTTACTGTGAAGTATGATCATTGTTAAGGGATTCTATTCAGATGGGCTCAGAAAATCAGGCTGACTGGAAGCCAAGTTAATTTGAGTACAACTTTTCTATTTTCAAAAATATAGAAACAGAACAAGATCTTTGGAAGGAAAGACAATCTGTTATGGATTTGCCTAACATTGAGTTTAAATGACATAGAAAATATACCTGTCTGTGTGTATGTGCATTTGTGGGTATGTGAGAGAAAAAGAAGTAAATTAAGTGAAGGATATCAGACATATCTTTTACATAATGTAAACTTGGAAGGAATGAAAAAGAATCTTCATAAATATGACCTTCAGCTCTCAGACAGGGAAAAGATCAATTGCAATATTTAGGATATATGATGAGACAGTAAAGAAAAATCGTAACTCAATAGATGGAAAGAATGTGAATGCATCTTGAGCAGTCTGATTTCAATAATGACTTTTGGAATTGCTTTGAGGAATTTACTAGTCATGCCAGAGAAATAGTTGTGTTAAAAATTGTATGTCTGTTTTGGATACCAAATGTATTTAACAACATGACTTTGTTTTGTTCTTGATAAAGCTTAACAAGATATTATTTGAAAAAAATGCACTCAATTTTCTGCCTCTGAGAACTGCATAGGAAGCACTCAAAAATAGTAAAGGAATGAATGAAGACCTTTGCCAAGGAAACAATTTCCACAATTGGGAAGAGAATTTCCACAATTGCCAGAAGAGAAGTTTTGACAGATTTTGATCATTAATAAACTACTGGAATAAATGCAATGTCTCTAGTTGTCACGTTCTTAAGGAAATTCCTTTGCATGTTATGTACAATACGAATTATATAGTAGTTATTCAGTTAAACTGTCTTTAGAAAATGTATCACTGGGTGTGTTTGCAATCTTAGCTACTCAGAAGGCTGAGGACATCTGAGGAACACGGTTCAAAGCCAGCTAGAGTGAGACAGACTCTGAGCTTCTTATCTACACTAAACTACCAAAAAAGCAAGAAGGAGAACTGTGGCTCAAGTGGTAGAGTGCTAGCCTTGAGCCAAAGAAGCTCAGGGACAGACCCTAGGCCCTGAGTTTAATCCCCAGACTAGCCACCCCCCTCCCCTCAAGACACACACAGAAGTAGAGCTATGGGTCAAGTGGCAGAGCGCCAGCTTTGAGCAAAAAAGCTCAGGGACAGTGACCAGGCCCAGAGTTTAAGTTCTATGACTGTCAAAAAACCAAACTAAAGGGCTGGGAAGG